GGTGTGTCATGGTTCTGGGGTCGTAGCCGTTGTGCCGGTCTTTGATGACGGGGTCAAAGAGCTCAGCAAACACCTGAAGAGATGTAGGGTTGAAGTCAAAGGTGCAAAAATAACAAAGAATGTGATTTCCAGAATCAAAACCAGACTTTGAACCTGAGACCAGGTTTAGTGTTCACATCCACGATGCAGCAGAGACTCGTCCTGTCTTTTACTGATGCTCGGTTCCAGTGTTTTGATTAAATGTGTGTAAACTAAACGTTCACACAAGGTGTGAAGTAAGATTCAGCCCTGAGTCCTGTATACAGTCTTCATATTCAGGCTGCATAAAACCTTTACTCACAGAGGGCAAACTGACAGACCTGTAACCTGACAGGCAAAACCCAGGGCAAATGAAACTCATCTAAGGACTGTCGCTCCTTACGCTCACTACTCTGAGTGCACAGTAATAACTGAAGGTAATTTAGAGATGTACATCAGAGATCTCTTCTAAAACTAGAGGTGAGGGGGACACGCCTCACCTCCCAGTAGAAATCACTTCCTTGCACAAAGCAGACATTGATTCACTGATTTAAGTTTAGGAGACAGAAACAGAGACAGACTGTGACCTTTGACCTCTCTTACCTCGTAGCTCTCCTCGTCGCCAGCCACGCAGCCCACCGTCTTGATGAAAGGGTGTCCGGGGTTGTCCACTCCAGTTTGGATGCATTGGTCCAGGGTCCAGTTGTTGGGGGTGACCTTGTCCCGCAGTTTGGCATAAACAGCCGGAGTCAGAGCCGACGCCATGCAGTTGTTGTGCTTCCTCAGGTCGGGGTAGTCAGAGCTACAGGAGAGCAGGAATTAGCAGAGGTGACTGCACCCTAATGCTCTGATGCTCCAACTAGCAGTGACGACGTGGCTTTTCAGCTTTAAGTCACAAAATTAGGTTGAGATCTGACTTGGATTCAGCTGTTTTGAGACTCGACTCCCTAAAACCTCGACTTAGAACCAATATTGATATTGCACTTTATTGGTGCAGCTTTCACAAAGTTACGATTAATCAAGTGATGTATGATGTATGTATGATGCGAAGTGAACCTGGGGGTCTGGGGCCTCTGGGTGACTGGAGTCTGTACTCCAGTCTCAGAGAGCGGTAAAGACAAGACAGTTGTGAACAAATGAGAATGTAACACAGATGAAACCTGCGAGTGGCAGCAGCTTCTTCATACTCAGATATTCACTGCTAATGTGTCACATGGTCAGAGTGATCCTCAGAATCGATGCTCCGCTCTTCTGGGAGGTCACTTTCCCTTTTAAACACATTGAGTTCTAAACTGACTGTTTAAACTGAGGTCACCTCTCGGCTGCTGCTGTTGTGGAAACAAAGCAATGAATCATTCTTCATGTGCGAGTGATGCAAAGCACGTTGTCAGTTTCTGTTGCCAAGGGTGATAATTCTAGAGCTCGGCCTGTTCACCGACTCACAGCGGACCTCTTTTGTCTGCTCCTCATATT